TAAAACTACCAGTGTACCAATCAAAATCATAAAAATGTTTTGCCAACTCAGTTTCACAAATATGACAAATGGTTGCATTTGAAATTTGGTTTTTGTCTTCATTTGTTAGCGGAAGTGGTGGATATTTTTGAAGTCTATTTATTTCTTTTAGATTGTTAGATAAACTTTCCATAAACACTTGTGCACAGTTGGGTCCGCAATATGTTACATATTTTGATAATTTATCATCATATGAACATTTTATATAATATCCAAAACTATGTACTTCATGTTTCTGAATATTATGAGTGAAAGGTTTGGAAGGATCGTTAGAACATGATTCTATTGGTTTTAAAAATGCTTCAAAATCAGCATAAACTACGAATGGTATCTTTAACTTTTTTTCATAACTATCAAATTTAATTTTATCATTTGAAATAGGTTGACCAAACCAATTCTTTTTTTTTAAAGTTTCACTGTTTGGTAATACTGTACAAATGTGGGCACAATCGTATTGTTCATGGTTATTTAACCTTTCCTGAGATGGAAAACGAAGTAGACATGCTTCACAAATGTACATGATGTGACCGTCTTTTGAAATTTGTTTACTAACTAACCGCGATAAATTTTTTATATAGCAATAATGATTTTTTGTATCCTTGGAAAAAAATAATAAATTGATATGTCTATCTTTACGACACTTTGTTAAAAATAATGGACCTACTATAGAATTACATCGTTTTTCTTTATTATATTCTAACCCAAAAACATTAATACTAATATCATTTAATTTCTCTACTTTTGCTATGTCAGAAATTTTAACCGGAAAGGAAATACCATCAAATTTAAGTTTATTTGCATGTTTAACGTACGATGATACCCGATCGGTGTGTTTGTTTACAGGATATAACGCCGAGAGTAACGCCCATTTAAAACAAAAATAATCCTTGTTTTTTACATTTATAACAGCCTTTTTTAATTTTATGTCACGAGGAAGATCTATGTATGAAGTACCGCGTAGGGGGTTAAATTTATTAACATTCATGTCTATAGATTTTATGTTTTTTAGACTCCATCCACTATCTTTTTTTTTGAAAGCACTAATTTTAGTAGTAATTGTATCATTTAAAGATGAAAGAAAAATATTTAAGTCATCTCCTTGACCAATAATATAGTTAAGCGTTTGAAAATCGAACGTATCATGAATATCTTTAGTTTGTTGAACAAAATCAGCATGCAATATGAAGTTTACCTTAAAAATTATGTGTTGATGAATACACTCTTGTAATAAAAATAAAATATCATCTTTAATAGAATTTAAAAATAGTTCAGGAGTTTCAAAATTTACCCATGTCGAACGATCTACTCTACTCTTGATTTTATAAGTTAAAATCCTATTTCCAAAAGCAGATTCAATAACACTAACGTTTGATAAAGAATTATGTGAATTTAAAAGATTATTTTTATGAACATTACTTTTAAAATGATTAGCTAAATACCGTTTCTTGATAAATATATGGCACGTTGGACATTCCACTTGATCATCGTTACTGATACTGTTCCCTGCAGAGGTATGCGCTTCTGCTTCCGTTGTTGGTTTTTTGATGATCTTGGATTCTTTGCTGCACGTTCGCTTCGTTCCTCTTCCAAGTTGTAGTGGTTGACTGCTAAAATGTTTAAATTTATTAAAAACTGTATAAGACAATATGTAAATTATGATCGAAATGAATGTTTATTTTACATACTTAAACTGTGTTTCAACCATCGCACAGTGATGATACAACTCATCATCGTATGACGAATCGAACAGTTGACCCCTCTCCATTTCTTCACAAACTTTAGACAACTCCTGATTTAATTCGCTATTGAATAGTTCCATATTCTCGTCCATGATTGAGGAGAAAAAAGCACTGGTGCACACTTCACTGAAGTTTTCCCTTCCTCTTTTTTATTTTTGATTCAGCTTCAAAAAAATGATCAATCGATTGCGATTTTCTTTTTCCACCATCGCATGTGTTATTATTAATGACGAGGTTATCACTCTCTTCTTGAGGGGAGAGTGGCGAGTAGTAATACTGTTTATAGGTATCTTCATCGAAGCTCAATGATTTCTGCAACAACACAGTTATCATGTTAATATCAATTTGTTAACACTTAATCATAAAAGTTAAAAAAGTTAAAGTTACAGCCTATTAAAGTCCACTGCTGAACATAGGCCTCCTCTCATTTCTGAGAGGGTTTTAGAGCAAGGAAATGTCCGCCGCGCTCCCTCAATGTGTGTTGGCGAACTTCACATGCCTTCGAAATTTTCTCAGACATGCAGGTTTCCTCACGATGTTTTCCTTCACCACCAAGCACGTGGTAATAAGCACTTAAAATTGCTATTAACAATTTAATTGGTGCTGGCGGGGATCGAACCCGTGTCGCGTACTGTGAAATTTACAGCTAGCGCTAACCATCTGAGTTACCACGGCTTAATCATATACATACACAATATTTAAATAAAATAATACACACACATGAAAATAACAGAAAAAAAGTAATTTAGTCAATAGAATAAACACTTACATCCATAGCCTTTGGTGTATTGAAGTAACACAAATGTACTATTGATAGATCCACTGTAGCCAAACGACCGTACACTAACTCGATGACTGCATTTGTTGGTCTTATATACCACCAGTACGTAAAAATTCTAATCTAAAGTATTTCCGTAATGAGTTGATAATTACTTTATGCGTCAACCAGTTTATCTCACATTTCCGTTGCCTATCTCAACATTTCTTCGTATTGTGTTTTGTTTGGTGATCAATGACTCAAGTACGATTTGTATAACACAAAAATGCAATTTAATATTTAGAAACATATCAGTTTATCTCACATTTCCGTTGCCTATCTCAACATTTCTTCGTATTGTGTTTTGTTTGGTGATCAATGACTCAAGTACGATTTGTATATCACAAAAATGCAATTTAATATGTAGAAATCACTATAATTGACCATTCCTATGTTATTCATTGAGTAGCTAGGTACTGTAATAATCTACTAATAGCAGTAATATCATGGATACACTAGATGTACAACAACATCTGAAAAAGATTCACCCCAGTCTAGAAAATAATGTTTATGCAGCTAATAGACTGCCTATGTATACCCACGTACCAACGTATATAATATGTAATTTGGATACAGATGATAAACCAGGGTCACATTGGGTAGCTTTATATATCGATACGAATGACGTCGGTCAATATTTTGATTCATATGGACGATCACCTGTACGATATCATGTAGAGTTTTTAAAAAGGAATTGTAAAAGATGGAACTGGAATGTTGATAGGATTCAGAATGAGTGGACTTCAGTTTGTGGCGAATATTGCTTAATGTATTTGCTATATAAGTTTCAAGGATGTTCAATACATAGTTTTACGAGTATATTTACAAGGAACACATTGTACAACGATATTTTAGTGGATGAGATGTTTCGCTCCTATTTTATAGATAATAATTAATAAGATTTTGTATTTTATAAATAAAAATTGTAACAAAATTATGTAATGTGTTTTATTGATGATTCAGATTAGCGTTGTATAAACAAAGAATTATAATAAACAATAGCACTGATATAGTCGACGCACACGCTGCAATGAAGGTGATTAATGAACAATAGAACAATAGAAATAGGAACAATGGGACGCTAATGACGGTGGAGGCCCTTACCGGATATCAATTACATATTAGCTAATTGATCTACACATCTCCGGAACCGTGCATTCTACAAAAAAATGGACCGCGGATTCGTGATCAGAGCATGCCAAAACTTTTTTTTTTTTTTTTTTTTTTTTTAGGATCGGGCGTCGACGAACGTCGTTGCACCACGTCTGACTCAGGTGGTCTAGAAGTGGTACAACTACACTACTTTGTATCCATCATAGGAAATAAAAACACGGATACAAATACAAACAAAAGTAAGACCATTGCTTGGCAAAAAGTGATAAGAAAGGTTTGTAAAATACCATGTTTTATGAATTTTCTTTCACTTTCTTGTATGCAAATTATGATTGAGACATTTTCGGTTTTAGTGAATTGAATAGCCGGGTAGGAGAATCAGCTGAAGTAAAGCAACAGTGGCGCACTATGAGACTTGATGCAAAGAAAAACATGTCGCAAGTAAAGACATCTATCAAATGTACCGGTGGAGGGCCAAAACCTCTTAGCCCAGACCCGGAAACCATTGACATTTTGAGCATGATTCCACAGGAATTTGAGACGGATTCCAATGTCTTCGACAGTGACAGCATAACAGTGAGCGCATACTATATTTTTGTAATTGTCCTAAAACTAATGTGATATTCTATTTCAGAATCCAGAGGTTCAAAGTCAGGGGCAGTCCTTGGTGAACACAATTACACAAGAGTATTTTATCACTCCAGGAGATAATAATGAGAATGTGAAAGAGGTTTGTTAATTTAAATTTGTTGAGTAAATTTACCTATATTAATATCTTTTGAATTCTGAATGACCTGTTAATATTTCAGAATATTACACCACTACCTTTTAAGATTCCAACTGAAAAAGATAGAAGTACGGAACGGAAACTAACATTCAATGATGTGAATGATAACAAACTGTATGTTTTTTATAAACAAACGTGAGGTAAAATAAATTTTTATTTTATTTTAATAAAATGTTTAATTTAAGTATAACAAAATAATGGGATTAGTGATTGTGATTGATAATAATATATTTATTTCAGGAAAGAGACTTAACCAGAAAGCGCAATCATGTTCTTGTCAGTTGCATAAAGGAGGAACATGGTTTAAAAATGAAAAATATGTTAGAAGCTCATAATTATATTAAAGAGGAAGACAATTTAAAAATACAACAAATGTTATTGGAAGAAGAAGAAACACAGCTTCGAGTTGAAAAACTAAAATTAGAAATTTTACTTTTAAAATCAAATTTACCACAATAAAGCATTTTCGTTACTAAAAGTGTGTTTCAATGAATAATCTCCTTACTTATTGACCAGATCGGCTATCAAGACCTTCCCATAGCACTTGTTGGTCACCATTATCTTCAGATGTGACTGGTTCAAGGAAATCAATGCCTTCATTCATTTCAATGGCAATATTGTGTAATATCGCAAGTGCAACAATGTATAATTTTATATTTTCCAGTGACACACTAAACCCAAGTAATAGACATCGGAACCTTTGTTTCCAAACTCCGAAACACCTTTCAATTGTATTTCTTGTCAATATATGTGATTTATTATAAGATTCCTCTTTAGCAGTACGGGGATTCTGGGCTGGTGTAAACAAGTAATTTGTCAAACCATAGCCAGAATCTCCTTGTAAACGAGCATGAAATTCCACATTTTCAAATCGTTGTCGGATTTGGCTTTCCCTGAATATTTTTGCATCATGTGTGCTGCCCCTCCAGTGTGCTACTATATCCCTTATCTTTAATTGAGCATCACAAACTACCTGGACATTTAAGGATGAAAACCCCTTTCTGTTTATATAATATTAAACACTATCATCTCCGACTTTTTTAATCTTTATGTGCGTGCAATCGATAGCACCAATCACTTACTTAGAGCCACAAATGTTTCTAAATCCAGAAACCACTTGTTCTTGCTCTTCTAAAGTACTAGGCATGCGTATAAATTGTGCCGCTTTACTTGCCAAAGCAAGAGCTACTCTTCGGCATATATTCGTGATGGACTGTTGGCTAAGCCCATGAATGTCTGCTGCATCATCTTGTACTTCTTGCCTAGCCCACGCTTTGAGAGCAGTACAAACCTGAAGTTCTACAGACAGCCCGCCACCACTAACTTGTACTTCGATATCACGCCGAACTAACTTAACTATTTTTCTCATATATATTTTACTGAATCTATATTTCATTCGAAAATCTTTTTCTGTGTCTGTTCCTCACAGTCTATTTCATCAAAAATATTGTAAATAATCCATTATTTTCAAAAACGCCACACGCCAATTTGAGGTTATACACGTCTTAAACAAAGGTTGAGAACTGTATAACGATTGCGTAATTTCCCATACAATTTAAACACTCGTTATAACAGATGTATACAACTGAACTGTCAAATGTCGTTTATTGGTAATATTAGCGTTATAACTCTGGTATACGTCGTGTGTAAATCTTTATTAGTAAGGCTGTAAATATAAAATAGTATATACTAATAACCATTTTGAGTGGTCTAAGAAATATCACAAGTTCAAGGTAACAAGTAGAATGTCGTTAAAATAGAAACATAAAGTCAATCAATTCCCTATTTCTTTTGCTCTTGGGGATAGATTTTCCTTCAAAGTATATGACCAATATCCTTTCCTAGTTAACAAAAAAGAATAATTCGATTCGGTAATCAACCTATTCTGAGAAATCAGAGAATATGGATAGTAGAAATAGAACTTTCTCACACGTTTTTTAAATTTATTAAAACATACATTTTGACACGCTGACTCATAGTTAAAACATGAACGTGAAAGAAAAGGAAGTAGAAGTGAGAGACGAATCCTGCCAAAAGAACGCTGCCAAACTGAGTCGAATCATACTCGTCGACAACTTTGAGCGTAGTGCTCCCAACGACTACTGGGATAGGTGTGACATGGACGGTACACATGATCTTTATTTTGTTTATGTTCAGTAGCTTGAATACGTCTTCCAATGTAGCGGTGAAAAGTTTTGGCAATATAATTTTACCCTGTCTTACACCTCTCTGCAATTGGATAGGTTTCGTACTCTGGTTACCATCAACTTGAGATCCCATTATTAATAAAATAAATCCAAACCCAAGCATACACTCCAAGACTTCAAGATACTCTAAGCTCGTTCTGTGTAGATCGGATCAAAGATTAATATTTAAGGAAGAAGTTAGGTACTAAGGTAGCCTTCGTTAACTATGGCACCCGACGTCAAATACCTGTCTCCCCAAGGCCTTGGTTGTTGTAAAGATAGAAGAATAGAGATAGAATAATAAGAAATTTTTAAATAAATAATAATAATACTTAAAACTAATATCATTTAATTGTAGTATTCGCGAAAATATAAAAATGTAATTATAAAATAAAAAAGTGTAATTGTAAAATATCTCGTTTGTTATAAAGATATCATTATTATCATTAACATGGGCCTACTTTAGACCTGCACTACTTCAAATTAGCAAAATTGGACATAATTGTCAAGCGTAGCATAATTAAAATAATACACGTAGTTTGTTATTTAAGTAATGCATTGCTTTAATTATGTTAGGTTTTATTTTACAAATTATTTAATTTCAAATGTAATAACCTAGGTATGCTTTGTTTCTTTTTTACAAATGTATTTTTCCAAGGATAACATTCTACGTTAAAAGGCTATTATGGCAATAAGAACACCGAGGAGACCAATAAGCTCTTTTTAAATGTTAACATTTGCCCAACTTTATTTAATTTCAACGCTGTTGTCTTTTGCTGCAATGACAACATTAATTTGGTTCTCTAAAATATTTATACATTGTACGTTGTATCATCTCTAGAGTTTGGATCTCTTGTATTTGAATCACTATCATTATACGTATAATTGCATTGAGTTTAATTATTTTTTTGGATTTTTCTATAAGCCCTAGGATTCTGTGTGTGATTTTCCAACTTACGGAAGGGTTTTATATACATTAATTGCACATGAACAAATATGTCATGATTTTTTCTAGTAATCAGCAAGCAAAACGAATATGCAGCCTAATGAACCGTTCTTTTAGCACTGTGGGAGCAGCTTAAGAGAATACGACACATCAGTATCGTATAGTACATCAATAATTATTTTGTCATTATTAAATATTCCTATGAACCATAATAAGGAGCTGCATTGGCTGTATTCAGGTATTTCGATAATTAAGAATGAATCTAACGACACCTCACGCTTTAAAATCTGCTTGTTTAGGTTAGAGAAGGTCACACAAACATATATATATATATATATATATATATATATATATATATATATATATATATATACATATAATATATATAATATTATAGATACATATTACATTTACTCGGGAAACATTAATCTCTTTCTGAAATATTCAGATAAAATACGAAGGAAAATCAAAATGGATGAAGCGATAAACGGAACTCGTCCGCTTTTGTTTAAAACAAGCAGTCGGTTTATTGTTATCTATACATAGACAATCATAAGGACCTTGAAAGTTTTATAAAATCACTTCATTTCATTCATTCGTAAAATACATTTTCCTTGTAGGTACAATTTCTTTAACGCCGTGCTTTTATTTACAATAGATATCTTGCGTATGTGGACTATGAGAAAGCCTTTGATTCCGTCTGAATTTGGGTGGTGCTGCAGTCTCTTCAGCGATGCTAAGTTGACTGTCGGTATGCAGAGAGGTGTAAGACAGGGTGACGTTATATCCCCAAAACTCTTCACCGCTGCATTGGAAGACGTTTTCAAGATACTGGACTGGAAAAGATACGGTATTAACATCAATGGCGAGTACAGTACTCACCTTCGATTTGCCGACGATATAGTCCGATTCTGCCATAACAGAATCGCTGAAGGACCGAAGCAATATGCTCAATGACCTCAATAGTGTCCCCCAACGGGTAGGTCTTAAGATGAATATGGACAAAACAAAGATCATGTATAACGTCCATGTCACAGCTATGCCGGTAGTTGTTGGGAGCACTAAGCTCAAAATTTTTGACGAGTATGTTTACCTGACACAAATAGTCCGATTAGGTAAGTCCAACTTCGACCGAGAATTCAATCGACGGATTTAACTCGGCTGGGCAGCGTTCGGAAAATTCCGACACATCTTCTCGTCAGGTATACCTCAAAATTTGAAAACAAGATTGTACAACTAGTGCGTGTTGCCAGTGATGACCAGGGCCGCTCAGCGAGCTATGGAGAGGGCTATGCTCGGGGTTTCTCTACACGGTAAACTTAAAAATGAGGATATCCGCAGTAGAACTAGAGTGACCGATATAGCCCAACGGATTGGTAAGCTGAAGTGGCAATGGGCCGGCCATATAGCTCGAAGAACCAACAACTAATAGGGCAAAAAGGTTCTCGAGTGGCAGCCTCGTACCAGTAGGCGAAGTGTAGGGCGTCCCCCTACTAGATGGAGTGACGACCTGTTAAGACATCCAAGAAGTCGATGGATGCAGGTGGCTCAGGACCGTGTTAAGTGGCATTCGTTGGGGGAGGCCTATGTTTAGTAGTGAACTTGTGAAGGGCTGTAATGATGATGATGGCATTTTATAAACCCTATTATTAATTTAGATGCACCTTTTTTAGCACCACATTTAATTTTTTACTTAAAACGATACTTCTAAATAAGGTGCTGGTTCATTTACCTTAAATAAATTACTAAGTTTAATAACATACTATATTTCCAAAACAAATAGTGTAAGTAAGCTGTTAACCAATAAAAGAAATTACACTAAGTCGCACAGTAATTTTTCGACCTATACAATGTCGTGCCTAAAGTTTCCCTGAATGTTTCTTTTCAGGGATAAAGTTAGCTTAAACTTTCTAACTACTGATTTGAATTTTGATGTTGTGACAAAAATCGCAGTTACGCAATCTTGGCATTACATCTTTTATAGTTATAAACATTTTTTTTATTTTACTTATTCTAAAACTAATAATAATTACTTAATTCTAAAACTAATAAAAAACCTTTCAAATGTAAATTTTAATCGGTAATGTAAATGAATCCTATATACTGTGTATTGTAACTATTTAAGAACCATATTATATCTACTCAAAATTTAATATTTTCGGTTATTTATACGTTTCGAATCGACTTTTTTGATTGAGTTGTGTTATTCATAATCATTGCGTACATTTTTCTTTTTTTAGACCATTTTTAAGCATGTCGTAGTAATAAATGAAAATATTTATGAAATTCTTAATAGTGCCCGTGTTTTAAACATAAAAGATAATTTCTACAAAACTTAATTATCGGATTAACGAAACAAGATATATAAATATATCGAATATTAAAATAATATTCGATATATTTATATATGTTGTATACTTTATAATTATACACGAATCATCATTGGTAGAAAGTACTTTGGCGTGGATTTTTATATCAAATCTGATTATATCAAATCTGATTACATCAGGGACCGTCTGAGATAGACAGACTATGGACTTCCCGGAGTGTGGGCTGTTTGCAGGTTTCTTCAATTTGTTTTTCTTCAACAACGAGCACGTGATAAATCAGCACTGTAATTAACAATTTCATTGTTGCCGGTGGTGTTCTAACCCGAGGTGATAGCGTAGTGAAATTCACAGCAAGCGTTTAGCTACCACGACTCTATGCTATTGTACAATAGTATAAATTATACCAATGTTAAGCACTAATCAATAGAAAGTTAGCACTATTCCGATATTTTATGGATTGCATAATTTTATGGATTGTATAAATTTTAACTCTCTAGAAGAGTAATTCTTTCAGTCAATAAAAGTAGTGTTATCGAGGAGTCTATAAAAATAATTTATTACTTTTAAAGGTCTACCTTTAGTAGAATACTATTTTAAAATACAGGTTGAAATATTCAACGTTTCATGATTTATTTACAATTGTTGTAGATTTTGTCTACTCCCACACAATGATCCCTAGGTCGACAGAAAATAAAAAAATGTCCCTAGTGTGTATGCTGTCCATTCACGCTGAATGAATTATAACGAAGATTTAATTTTTCTTTCTTTTCGAATATATTTTAAATATTGTATAAATAAATAAGGTTCTACGTTATCAAATAGAAGGAACTAATATTAGAATTACAACATCTTATCAAAAGTGAAATATATGTAAAAGATTTAGATACGCACCATACATAAGTCTGAA